TTATTCTAGAGTTCGCAATTTTTAACATTAACACAAACTTGATCAGCATCGCTGCTTACTTCTTCGAGATGATCGCTACTGGCGCTGCCTACACTTCAAGGAGGGTTGAAACACTCGAGTTGTACAGTACAGAGTCAGGAGCTCTGATGTTCTATCTCATTTGCCAGTTTTTGTTCATGGCCATGGTGCTATATTACTTCATTATGATCCTGATCCACCTATATCGGGAGCGTCTTGGATTTTTCAAGTCTGTCTGGAATATGATTGACTTCTTAATGATTGTCTCTTCTGTCGCCTCCGTTTCATTCTATATGATTAGATCTAAAAGTATATTACAGAGCATCAAAGCAATCCAATCTAATCCTTTTGAAATTATGCATTTTCACTCAGCACTAGATTGGGCCAACTGGGAAAATGCCTCAATCGCTGTTGCCGTTTTCATCGTGACACTGAAGCTTTTGAATCTCATCCGTTTCAATCCTTATGTGATTTTCTTGTTTTCATCTTTCCGGCAGTCTGTAGGCTACCAATTGTCATATCTGGGTGTTTTTCTCATCGTCTTCAATGCTTTTGTCATATCAGGGATGACATTTTTTGGTGGTACGGTCATTAACTACTCAAGCTACCTGCAAGCAGTCATCTCGCAGTTTCAGTTTCTTCTGGGAACTGCTGTCCCACTCGATGACCTCCGTAATGACAAGCCCTTTATTGGCCCAACGTTTGCTCTGCTATTCATGTTATGCATGACTGTCATCCTTATGAATATGCTGGTTTCAGTCCTAAATGAGTCGTACACTGACGCCAAGACAAACGTTGAAGAAAGTGCCGACCAGCTTGAAATGGTCAGATTCATTGGTGAACGTTTCATGGAAATGTTTCAGGAAGGTAAAAGGAAACCTGAATTCAAGCTATTTTGTGACGACGTGACTTTTACTAACATGTGCAATTCTGACGCAGAGCCATTCTGTTTGAATTCTGAAAGTATCATCCAGTGCACCGAGCAGAGATTGGAGAAAGTGGAGAAAAGACTATCCGCCCTGACTCGGCGAACGGAAAACGCAGTGACTGACCATTTTAAGGAGGAAGATGAAATTTTCGATCTCTTCTACCTGATTCTAGGGGAGGGGCCCGGGGGACCCGGACTCCCCCCTTATTTTGGGTAAAACAAAAAAAAATCGAAGTAGGAAGAAAAGCCGGCAGGACAAGCAAAAAAAACCGCTCTCCATTTCTCTCCATTTTACTGCTGAATATTTCCTATTTCTAAGTACAGCGAGAATAGCCATGTGTAAAGCAGGGAGTTCCCATCGGAGCTCCATTAAGCCTTAGTCAAAAAGAAAATATGTCGGCACCCACAGATCAATCTGTGCACACAACATCCCCAAACCTTCTTTATTTGAATATTATAGTAAATTTGTAGTTAATTTTTGATTTCAAGTATATGTCGATCACAACAATCGTCCACGCTAAGATTACTCCTGTTGGGAAACGTTTCTGGCATTGTGTAATGATTGTTGAATAAGGTCGTTGCACTGAAAACATAAATTTGGCTTCAGTGAAAGATAACAACTATATTCAAGGATAAGAAAGCAATAGGAAAATTGTCAAGAGAGCCCCGCGTTCTCCTCCTTACATGTGATCGGGTTGTTCAAAGCTTAAGCAAACCCAGGATTAGGAAGAATTTTGACTTCAGTTTTGTACTTTCTCGGTGAAGTTTTCTGTTTCTACTGTTTGTCCTTCAGTTTTGAGCTTGAGTAATCTCACACAACACAAAACGTAAGAAGTGAAGAACAGTTTTATATCGGAAATATTGATACTTCAGTTAACGTTTTATCCGGGGTTACTGTTTTCGAACAACCCAGCAGGGTAGTACATCGTATTTACATTGTTGTCAATTTATATTTCCGAGAGGAACAATGGCGCTACAGTAGAAAGAAATTGTTTAAACAATATCGGTTATTTTTTTGCTTCCTAATTAGACTAGACGATCTTACGTTCGAAAGAAGGAGCCTATAGCGATCGAGGGTAACTTGCGGAACAGAAGAATAAGCCTTGATAGTAAAGCATGTAAAAAAAACTGTCGCTAAACACAGTTTCCTTACTCTTTCTGTAAGAAATGTAGAAGTCTGGAAAAAAAATTATTTACATTTTGATATTAAGGTTCAAGGGTTGAAAGCATATGCTACAAAAATATTAGTCGAAAAAGTTGAAATCACAAAGAACTGAAAATATGCAGTTTGTCTGCTATTGTTACCGGTTTATTTGTTGAGTTTTTGGTATTAAAAGATTACAATTCGATCGCTCTTAGGTACTCGAGGCCTGAGTTCATTTTCATCCGCAAACGATGTTTATGCGTTTTGCGATGTCTATGTCAAAGATGTTTTTGTGCAGTTCGTAGCTTAACGATAGAGCTTGGCATGTGTTTGAGGTCAATATCATAAAATTATTCGCAATCGCAAGGCTCCTCGTGGTCTCCGTAGGTATAAAAACAAAAAAAAAACAATTACTCCTTGTTTGTAGCCAGGAGATTCACATTTGCAGCTAAAACATTTACTGCTGCACGTTTTGTATCTCAATTGATTACCAAGCTTTATTACTTGTGAAATAAATAATATATGTGAACTGCTGACAAAGGATTTCCCACAAATGAAGGTCGTAATTACTGATCAGGTGAAGCCACTTAATTAAATAAGTACAGAAATCTATAGAGCTTCGTAACTTGGAACCGGGGCAACCTGGTTAAGCTTTGTTCAAGGGAGCTAACTTCCGAATGTCTTCTTCTCTTCGCTGTCAAGAGCATCAAAGTTAAAAGTTAGAAAGGATTTCCAAATATTTCATTCGTATACACATCGAAAAATAAAACAGCACTGCGCGGTACCTTTGACAGGTCACAGTAGGGAATCATTTGTGAACAGAAACGTTATCGGTACTAAATTTGGTACTTGGCATGATCACAGTAGCAAACAGTAATAAACATTTATTGTGAAATGCTTGTTATTGTTTCCTATCTCATTCACTTCCACATAATATAGAAAAGAATAAAAACAATTTTCCTAAATTCTTTGACAATATTTTTAAAGAAATTCTGCTTTGTTATTGTGATCATCGAAATACGGATTCTCATGGCCTTTACAATCACGCTGTGGGCAGCTTGCTCTATATTAAGCCGATATCATTGTTATACAAACAAGGCTTTTATATAGTGCACGTTTCTTCAATAACAATCACAGCAGGGCTACTCAACCCTCGTTGAAAAGCATCACGGCTAAATACAATTTGTTCCCTGTAAAAGGACGTATACGAAATATTCCCTGACATGAACTTTGTCTTTTTAAGCTTTGATCGATGAGAGATGGGTGTAAAACTGCTATCATTTGCTTGCAAGGTGAGGCTATCCTTTGCGTTTTTCGTGGTTAGATTACATGCAAATATTGACTGAATTGACGTTTTAGACTCTCCGGCTTTTCATCTGTGGCTTGATTGTTTTAACGGATGGAGACCAAGCTTACGCAGGTTTGATTTTCATTGTTATAGCACGCTTTCAAATCATCGCAAGCAGAACTTAAAAACCAGTTTAAATTACATATAATCTAAGTAAATTTTAATCTTTATTTGTCGAAATTGACTCAAATCGCCGAGGATCCCAGTCGTTTGAAAAACAAGGTCTTTTTTTCATAATAAACCATGAACATTTTCGGAAGCTATTGATCCCCCTACCCTCACCCTGTTTCACGTGAAAAAATACATCGAGTAGATTTTAAATTTCTTCCAAGAGAAAATTTAGTATGGGAGGGATGAGAACGTTCATAAATATATAAATTACCAGAGAAAAAAGAACGTCAGTTTACGTGAAAACAATACAATCTTTCACACCCTATGATTTAATCATAAGCTCGCACAAGATGACGTATGATTTCAGCTGTAAGTCATGAAAAAATAACGGTTTTCACCAAGCTTAATCTTAATCTCTTGGAAAATAAACTGTACTGTCAAAGGTAAGGGGGACCAGGGATGGCGCAGTGGTGAGAGCAATCGCCTCCCATCATCAGTGTGGCCCGGGTTCGATTCCGACCCGGTCCATATGTGGGTTGAGTTTGTTGTTGGTTCTCGCCCTTCTCTGAGGGTTTTTCTTCTGGTTCACCGGATTTCCTCCCTCCACAAAAACCAACATCTCTAAATTCCAATTCAGCCAGGATAGAGAACCCTCATGGAAACTAGCTTAGGCTGATGTGGCTTCCTCTCTAAATGGTGTAATTTATTTTTATTTTTCGTTCATTCACTTGCTCAAACGAACATTGCACGCGTGACCTAGGCTATTTACGCAGTTGAAAGCTGATTTATTTTTCACCCTAACCACACAGTTTGTCGTGTTTGGTTAGGGTTAAATTTGATTCAGCGTTCCTGGTTTTAGTGCACGTTCGTTAAATTAGTTCTGTGTGCAGTTTGCGACACCGTTTCTTAATTTTAAGTGGTGCTCTTTCTCGTGTAGTTGACTCAGTCATTTGAACAAGCAATTTAAACCCCTATCGGCTTACTTTGAGCATGCGCATAGACGTTACCTTGGACATTCCCTTCTCCTTCATAGGCGCAACCCCTATAAATTGGGAAATTATCAATTATTCCCAGTTAATAAAATGTGGAGCTACGTGTACTTTTCTCGTCGTTTAGTGACTCCATGTACCAGCGACCCTTGCCGACATCAAGGAAGCTGTATACTAAAAGAAAATGACAGCTACTTTTGCCAATGTTCTGGACGATATTACGGAGACAATTGCGAAGAAGGTAATATCATTTATTAAGGTTCTGTAACATGAATGGGACCTCGCGTACCATGCACGCCGTTCGTGACATCGGCCGCCATATTTTATCGTTTGTTTCGGAGCGCTAAAATTATTATTTCGTGGAACACCGTTATTTTTTAAATATTGGAAAAATATCCTTAAATGCATAATCGAAAAACTTCATAAAAAAAGAGTGAAGGTTAAAAGGTGACAGTCTATGATACGAGTTTAACGGTATTTGACAACAATCGCTCTGCTGGCAAAAAAACATTTTTTTTCCTACGAAGAATCGAACTTTGCGGTGAATATGAAAATCAAGGAAATGTTATACTATTACACTGGCAAAGCTAAACGAGACACCTTTTAATTATAATTGCTCAGCTGCTTACATAACATCATGAGAAACATATTTCTCGATGAGCCAAACCAAATGCCTAAATTGCACCAACACTTCCAACATGGGAATTTTTAAACTCCACGTCTTGAAACAGAAATGTTCCAGAATGATCTTTGAATTTGTATCCATTCCATAAAACATTTAGCATGTACAAAAGCTCTTGGCATGGAAGACCACACAATCTCTAACGAGCAAATTACTGCCTCTTCTGAATGGAGTTATGACGAGGCTGCCTTCCAGGGAAGGCTTCACCTTCAAGAGACTGCAAACATGTCGGGAGGCTGGGCTGCTGACGTCGATGACTCCAATCAATGGCTCCAGGTTGATCTGATTAGTCTGTACATTAAAGTGACTGGTGTTGCAACGCAAGGAAGAAATGGAGATTACGACGAATGGGTAACCAAGTACAAGCTGCAGTACAGTGACGACGGAATGAGCTTTACTTACTACAGAGAACCAGGAGAAACCGCAGACAAGGTGAAATCGACGAGATAATTCATGTTTTTGTGACGTTTTAATTTGTCACTAAAGGTCGAACTCCCCATGCAGTGAAGCCACATAAGTGTTCTTGCATCAATCACGCCTTTTTCTCGGACTTATTCCCGGCGAATACGCAACGCTTGGACGTTTCTGTGAAGTATAGAACAGTGGAAAACCGACAGAAAAAAATCGAAACGAATAGTCCGTCCTTCCTTTTTGTAATCGATCGATAAGCTCGTTTAGGGCATCTGCTGCTACAACGAGCAAAAATACCACTGACGCCAACATGACCCCAAAATGAAGGAGAACTCCGCACTTAAAGGCGTCTGTCCAGAAAACAAGATTATCAACCGCGTAGCGCTAGTAGGACCGTGGTAATAAAGCTAACAAGTTCCGTTCTTCGGTGTTCTTTGCTTTGTTACTGTTGTTGTTGTTATTTATGTTAATGTACATCTGTCGTTTTGTATTAGCAGGGTTCCCTCTTTTCAGCAATCGTATGGTATTTACTTAATAATGCGTCGTTCGCTATCCCGCGCCGATTACTTATTTTTCATTTGCAACTAAATGAATAAATGATTCCTAAGAGATCAGTTGTCGATAAACTACGTTTACTAGATGATGTCATCGATTTAAGCCATTCCTTTTTAACATTTAGGGAGGCGCAGTGGCCTCATAGTCGGTGCGCTTTGCAAATGCTAACACGAGTGAATGCCCTGACCCTACCTGGCACTACCTCCCTCCACCCAGGTGTATAAATGGGTACTGGGGAACTTAATGCTGTGGGTAACTCTGCGATGGACTGGCATCCAATCCAGGGGGGAGTAGAAATACCCCTAGTTGCTTCATGCTACAGAAATCAGGATAAGCTCTGGCATGATGGGCCACTTGGCTCGTATGTAGACTTAACCTATTTTTTTTAAAAAAATTTCAGTGTCTAACAAATTGCTTCACGTTCGTTTAGGAGTTCACTGGAAACACAGACCGGGACAGTGTGGTTTCTCATGACCTAAACCAAACAATAAGGGCACGTTACATACGTTTCCAACCAGTAGCTTGGCATTGTTGGATTTCGATGAGGGTGGAGCTCTATGGTTGTAAAGGTACATGTATATTTGAGATAAATGGCATTTTGCGAAAAGCTGTTTAGTAGATTTTGAAATTGTACTGATTTTCCTCGAAGTATTGAGATCATTAAAGGAACTCAATCACGGTATTTCGAGTTATTTTGGCCGCGTACAAAATTACCTTTAAACTGGTCAGAAGGAAACCTGAAAATAATAATTTACTGAGACAGAAAAACACTAAAGAGATAATAATAAACCATAAAGGAACAAGGATGGTTAGGGATGGATAAGATTGACAAGGATTTCAAGCCGTGGCCTAGTTCCTTTAATAGTGGTCGACCCGACAAGACAATAACTATATAAACCATAAAGTGCCTACCGCTACAACTTATTATTTACCTAATCGAAATGAATTGCTTCCATCGAGTCTTCGCCATTCACTATTCCTTCGCTTTTTCGTTCTTCTCTCGCTATTTGGTATTGATCCCGTTTCTCACTTAGAATGTCAACAAGCTCTTGGAATGGAGAACAATGAAATCCCTCATGGACAAATTAGTGCCTCTTCGCAATTAAGTGCAGATCATGCCGCTTTCCTGGCTAGACTAAACTTTGAAGGTGGTACGGGAGGTTGGAGGGCGGGCACAAGTGATTCCAATCAATGGCTCGAAGTAGATCTTGGTAGTCTTTACACTAAAGTGACAGGTGCAGCTACTCAAGGAAGACATAGCGTTAATTATCTTCATCGGGTTACTAAGTACAAGTTACAGTACAGTGACGCTGGAGTAAATTTCCAGACCTACAAGGAACACGGACAAAGCACAGACAAGGTATGTTGTATGATATGATGTGGGTAAGCTCCGCAGCTCGATAAAGCGGAAGTAATTATAACGATGTATGTCAGAATACTAGAAAGAAAGGCGCTCTGAGAAACACCTCAGGAATAATGTTCCCAGATACCAAATTAGCCACCTGGAAGACGAAGGACATCTTTGGCACCGACTGGAATTGTACCCAATCAACTTAACCACGAGGCTACCACATGGATTCAGTTTTCATTTCCTAAAATTCATCTTCACCTTGAAGTAGCTTTTAACAAGTAAATTATGGCTGACCTGAAAAAGGGTTTACTTTCCAAGCAGATTTAAGGTAGAAATTGATTTAATGATACAAGACGCTGCTTATCTATTTAACGATGGACAAGTAGCTTATGTAATAAGAAACTATCAGGATATATTAGGAGGATATTTGACAATTGCCTTGTTATTCATGTAGGAGTTTGCTGGAAACACAGACCAGAACACTGTTGTTTATCATGATCTAACCCCACCGATCACATCGCGTTACATTCGTTTTCTACCGGTAGACTGGTATCTCGCTATATCGATGAGGGTGGAGCTCTATGGCTGCACAGGTACTCCAATATTTGTTCTATATTTTCGAAGATTTCCACATAACAATCTGTACATGCATGTTGTATACGATAGTCTCCCTTCTAATAGCAATCACGAATCGCACGCGCATTTGTAAGCACATCTTCCATAAATTTGTTTGGATGCGAAAGTAGTTCTCGTGAGTCCGTTGAGAAATAAGGTATTACTTTAAACGAAAATGACAAATTCAACTCGTTTAAACAACAGTAAGTTCAATTATCGTATTTTTTTGCACAATTTTATTTCCATTATTTGGTACAAAGTACATCGTTATTATTATTAAGTGTCAATAACTTAATTACGTTAGGTAAGAAAAATAAAAATATAATCATTTTATTTATGGTATAACAGATGATAATTTACTATCAATGAATAATTTCCAGTTCAATGATCTTTGTGACCAACTAATTGTACAAAAGAAAAATGTTTTTTCAACGCATTATTAGAAGCAGTAAATAAAGAATTGGAAGGATGTAGAAAGAATATAAAAAGATTACAGATTGAATGATTATATTTTTAAAATCATATATTCTAATAAGCTCAGTTTAAATTAACGTGTCCGTAATTCTTCTATGTTATTATTATTTCATCTTCTAGCCGTTAGTATTCCAGATCCTAAGGCCCTCTATCCTCTCAACAGTTGGTTTACAACATGCGAAATCGACAACGAACAACCCCCGGGTACCTCTGTTGGGACAACGCTCGCAGTTGGCCCGAATGATAACGACGGTGGCTCTTACCAATTCCATGGACACGTTAGCAGTTATGTTGAGCTTCCAAACAATGTTGGGTTGGATGTTCAACATTCCATCACAATCTTATGTTGGTTGTATCTTGAAAGTGTAGAAGATGCACCAATCTTCAGCTATGGAACACGTGATCCGGTGTGGGGCGTTCATTTTTGGATATCATTTCAAGGAAACCTTTATGCTGGTTATGTGCACCGTAATTACTCTCAGTTACCATATTTGGCAACTGATCAGCCCCTGGCGCTAAACAAATGGTATTATGTTGGCACTTCTTATGATCACGATACTGGTATTGCAAGCATTTGGCTAAATGGTGAAAGAGTTGTGCAGCAGAGTATCGGAGCTGGCATAACTCTTGCTACTCAAGATAACGTCAGAATAGGTGTAAAGGACTACGATCCACGGTATTTGTTGGGCAGAATTGCGGCCATTCAAGTTTTCGACGTTGCGTTGACCGCAAGGCAAATACTTGAAGTGAAAAAGAATGGTCTAGGTAGGCATTTGTGACCTCTTTAGCTGCATTCTTAACCAGGCGGCCCAGAGTGAGTCTGATTCCTAATTCGCTGGATGTTTCGTCTTTTACTTTTTTGTCAATTACTAACCCAATCCCTCTACAAAACGACTCCTTGGTCACAATGTAAATCACACAACTTTTGATGTTACTAGCAAGGACCTATAGAATCACTGACAACATAAAATTCTACGAACACAGAGCTCTGTATTTTGTGCGAGAAAATTAATTTTGGTGTTATACTAGCGCTGGAGTTCGAGCGAATACAGAATAGGTATGTTGAGCAAGCTCCGATGGCGACGGCAATGGGAACATCACCGATCAAACGCTTTTATGAGCAGAACAATAGCTGTGCACGAGCGTTATAAATCTTGATATACATTCCATTGCTGTTCACTGCAAAACAACCTCTTGAAATTACCAAATTCTGTGTTTCCTGGAGGACGTGAATCACGAAAGCTATTTTTTTTTTAATTTCTATTTTGAATTTTTCGCTGGGTTCTACATTGAGCTTAGAGTGCCTCGAGATTCGCTGTTTTAATCTACGTCAACGTCAAGGAAACTGACTGCCTGAGGCTCTTATCAAATCTGCATATTATCGATGATATTTGTAATATGCGCCTCCCTTTGACCACCAACTGCCATGCACTGCATCGACTATCATCAACTATGAATCACTTTTAGCTTGCTCAAAATTTTCATGATAATCGATGATAGTTTTGCTGTTTGATCGCGCGAATGATATAGTTTATGATAGTTGATGGTAGTTAGGGGAGAATCAGCAACTATCGACTATCATACGAGGACCAGGACCATTACCTGAGTCGTCACCAATCCCATGCTTCTTCCCCTCCACCCCCTAGGGAATATTGAAAATATTAAGTGATGACTTACATAATATGGTTGCGTAGGAGACTACTTAGTCCCTAACTTGGCATTCGCGCTTGATTTGGCGTGATAACAGTGGGTTGACAGGCCTACACAACTCCTATCCACGTGTCATAGCCGCTTTGAGAGTTTTGCTCGAACTAGTATATCTTTGAGGATCTGCCCCTTTTGTATT